CTTCCCCGCCTCCCGTCTCTCCCAGGCCCCCCCACCCCTGACCGCCGTCTCTCCCACCTCAGCCGATACAAAGTGCTCCTGGGGGAGCACAACCTGCAAAGGCAGGATGGCTATGAGCAGACCCGCCTGGCCACCGAGTCCTTCCCCCACCCAGACTTCAACGACAGCCTCCCCAACAAAGACCACCGCAACGACATCATGCTGGTAAAGCTGGAGACGCCGGCGGTCTTCACCTGGGCCGTGCGGCCGCTCACCCTGTCGTCGCACTGCGTCACCCCCGGCACCCGCTGCCTCATTTCCGGCTGGGGCACCACGTCCAGCCCCCAGAGTACGGGCTCCGTGGGGGACGTGGTGGGGGAGGGGTGCTCGTGCCCGTGCGGGGGACGCAGGCAGCCAGAAGCAGCTTCGAAGACGAGGTCGTATACACACACACACACACACACACTCACACACACACACGAGGGGGCTCCCAGGGGGTGTCAGCGGTGACATGAGGCGTGGGAAAGGGGGCGGGGGCAGACGTTTGGGCCTCGGGGTCAGGCAGACGCCATGTGCCCTCCCAGACCCGCAGCTGCTGCTTGTAGGACCTTGGGCAAGTGGCCCCGCCTCACTCGAGCTCGGCTTTCTTCTCCATAAAATGAGAATAATCACAGCCACCTACCGGGGCTGCGTGAGACAGTGTAGAGCCACTCAGAGGTAACTCAACAGCTATCGTACGAGCAGTGACACAGAGCCGGCTGCAAGCGAGGACAGGGACGGGATTCAGAGCAAGGTCCTGGGGTTCGGGGAACTCAGCCCCAGCTGCGGTGTGGGGAAGGGGGACGGGGGGCCCTCGTTTGCCACATCCCTTCCTGCCACTTCCACCCACAGTACACCTGCCGCACACCTTGCGATGTGCCAACATCACCATCATCGATCACGAGCAGTGTGAGGACGCCTACCCCGGCAACATCACCGACACCATGGTGTGCGCCAGCGTTAAGAAGGAGGGCAAAGACTCCTGCCAGGTCAGAGGGGACGGCCCGGGCACCCCCATCCACATCGCCATCTCCAACCTCACTCGGGTCATCGGCCACATCCCCAGCCTCATTCCAACCCCAATGCATCCCCCTCTGCAACCTCACGGCCCGCTCCCACCCCCGTGCCTCTCCCCAGCCAGCTCCAAATGCATTTTCCACCCTAACGCCATCATTGTTCCCACCCATAGCTCCAGCCTCATCCATGGCCGGCTCCACCCTCATCCATGGGTAAGCCCTTGAAATCAGACAGCCTCCTCCCGGAAACCGGGCCTAGCTCCTTCCCCTCCCCCACGGCCTCCTCTCCTCCCTGACTGGCTCTCTCTCTGCCCACCCCCAGGGCGACTCCGGTGGCCCTCTGGTCTGTAATGGGTCTCTTCAAGGCATTATCTCCTGGGGCCAGGATCCATGCGCCGTCACCAAAAAGCCCGGTGTCTACACAAAAGTCTGCAAATATGTGGACTGGATTCATAAGACAATGAAGAACAACTAGCCGAGACCAGCTCGCCGCGGTCCAACGCCCCCAGCCTCAGTTGGTGATGTGGTTCCTGTTCATCCTGCTCGGTATCAAGCCCGAGCCTGGACGCCTTGCTGTATTTTCTTTGACGAGAGATACCGGCGCTTACGACCGACTTCGCGGCTGCAGTATCCCTAGCCTCGGAGACAGTTCCTGGCACTCCAGAAAGTTCCAATAAAAGATCCCCAAACTAAATGACTCTTCTGAGTGCTTGCTGTGTGCCAGACCCTGGCTTTTAAATGCATCGCCTCACGTAATCGTCACAAAACCCTTCGAGGCCGGTGCTCGTACTTCACCCGTTTTGCGGATGAAGAAACCAAGGCACCGAGAAACGAAGTCACTTGCTCATGGTCGCCCAGCCAGTGGGTACGAGAGAGAGGAGTGAAAGCGGGGTGCCTTGACTGCTGGGGCGTACTGCCTTGACACTCGGGGTCCTCACCTGTGAAGCCATGCTCGCAGAGGACGGGACCTAAGCCCGTCGCCCCGCACGTGACGAAGACTTGACAAAGGGCAACCTCTGCTGTTTTGTTTCCAGCCCCCATGACAGGTAGTCATCGAGACCTGCGTAGGCCTCTCCAGGAGCCACGAACCGCACGTGGCTGTTTCAATTAAAATCACACACATCAGACATGTCATTCTGTCAGCAAAGTCGCATGCAACACACACCAAAGTGGCCATGGCCACCTGTGGCCGGGGGCTGCCGTGTCCGATGCCCATATAGGCCCTCGCCAGTGTGCAGAAAGTTCAACTGGACAGCACCGAGCCGGACGGTCTCTGCAACTCAAATTTCCTCTGGAGAAGGTACCGGGCAGAGTCCAGCGCCCAGGGTGTTCCCCACGCAGGGGACGTAGCTGGCTGGCACGAGGCCTCCTGGTTGTTAGGCGGACTTGCTGTGTGTCCTCCTGTGAGTCACTGCCCTCTCTGAGCTTCCCAGTCCTCACCCGAGATGAGGAAGCTGGCCGAGGTGATGTCGACGCCTCTTGTGGCCTCCTGTGATTTATGGGCCTGCGTGTCACCTGGAGACATGCGGATGACACGGAGCATCCCCAGTGCGCGAGGGGCTGGTTGCTGGGACGGACGCTGAGCCCACTGCTCAGGCTGTGGGAGTGGGCCCAAGCACAGGGCGTCCCTCCAAGTCTGCGTCCCCCCATTTGCCCTTCCGTTTCTCTGTCTCGCTGTCTCTCTCTCCTTCAATCCCTGTGCTGCCTCTCTCCCCGACAGCCTTTTCTCACATTGTCGACCCGATGCCGCATGTCCCTGCTTCTCTCCCCCTCTCCCTCCCTCTCTCTTTCCTCTGACACCATCCACCCGAGACCTGGGCCCCCTGGGGACAGGGCACCCTCTCCCCCCATCTGAGAAGACTTCCTGGAATAAGGGACATAGGGAAATCCTCGAGGAATCCAGCTCCCCAAAAAGGTGTCTCGGGCTCTGGGAGAAGCCTGGATTCCGGGGCCCCTCCCACGGCAGGAATCTGGGGCCCAGGTTGGGTGCCAGCCGCACCTACGATATAATTAGGGAGAGGGAAAGGGAGGGGCGAGCCCCTGGGGGGAGGGTGGGGAAACTTCCGGGCTTCCCGGGGTTAAAAGGGAAGGTCTGGCCAGGGGTCCCCGGGCAGAGGATCCAGCAGCCCACACGGCAGGGCAGAGGCGCTTCCAGGCGTCGTCCTTCCCTCCTTTCGCTCGGCGACTCCCAGGTGAGACAGAATGCACCTCACCCAGGTTGGGGACCTTCGGATGGCCGGCAGGAGCCCCGTTTGATCCCCGATTTCCCTTCGGATCCCCACCCTACCTGTAAAGGAGGGCACAATCCCACGCGCCGAGAGGCTGGGAGCTGGGGCAGGAGGGCGCTCCCCTCGAGGGTTGGGAGGGCAGAGGACGCAGCCAGGGGCGTCATTAGGATAATTGCGCCTATTACCGCTGTTCGGGCGGAAATCGCACATCTGCCTGCCCGCCCGCCAGCCCGCCCGCCCCTGCGGTTGACGGTCGCAGGTGAACCGGCTCCCCGCGCGGGCCGGGGTGGCCCAGGCTAGGCGGGCGCGCACGGCGGGATGAGGGCCTCTGACCGGCCG